TTTCTAGAATGATTGCAAATTGTAACTAAACTACAGTTGTTTATCATAAATAGCTTAAAGCTTTTAACAATATACATCTGTTTATATATAAATTTTAATGTTTTATTGCCCTTTGACCCCTGTCTAACTAATAATCTTCCCACACAAGTTGTCAATAACTTGGCGAATGTGTAGCTCAAGTTACCATATTGAATTACATAACTGATGAGCTGCTCACAAGCATACTTTGAGCAGAATTATCATTACTTTTAATAATCTTGTCTAATATAACCTCATAAGTTTCTAAGTTTCTTTTCCTTTGCCAATCTAAGCATTGATCTGATATTTTCAGACATAGTCCATCTTTTATTCCCCACTTAATTGCCCTTATCGATATCTATGTAAATGGGCCCTCTGTCTTGGTACTGTATATAAGCATCTCCTTCAGATAATATTGTCACTTTTTTTATGCTGACCCTATCCCCAATCTCTAACACTGGCTCTTATTAAGAGGAAGGAAGAGCAGGAGAGTGTGAAAGGAGGTAAGTATTATTGGAAATACATTTTCAATTTAAGAAAATGTTAACTTTCAAAACATACTTGCCTCCTCTCTCACAACAGCTAGAATCCCATGGTGGAGGGGCCGGTGAGGGCATTACCCATATAGAATGCATCTGCATAGATCGTGGGAGTGGCAATAGAAGATTTGCACACTATTGGGGGAACCACACTATCTCCAGAACAGGTATACTCTTCACCCAGAACTTAAATCACCATTAGCTAGGCCTCAAGCAGGTAGCCGAGGTCCCAATGCTCAGAGTTGGAACTATACGGCCATGACTCCTAAACCCAACACTGATGGTTAGGGCATTTGGACTACAATATATATATATATTTTTTTTTAGTAGACCCCAACCTGTAGCTAAAGTTATACGTTCCGAGCCACCAAAATCACGATGAGAGGGTAAGCAACACCGAAGTGGACAAACCGTCTCCTCAACCTGTAGAAGTCCAAAATGCAACACCCCAAACTTGGAATGACAGGATTCTGTATGTCATACTCAACCTGAGGAAACAGAACTCATCTGGGCTGGAATTATGAACACTCATCCTCACACCCACAACTGTGTGGGCAAGGTAAATTCCAAATTGTGATCAACCAAGGACCTGGGTTTGGACCACTCTGCATTTGGAATTATGAGAAGATAATGGACTCTCTTCAATGTACATTGTACTGAACCAATATTGAACAAAAGTAAGAGCCATGCTCAACCCAACCAGATAGCTGAGTGTCAAATCTGAACTGGTACTGCAAGTAGGCTCCCATGTGACAAAATTATGTACACATACATCTACAACATCAAATTATGAATGCATACTTCTACTGCTTAATCTCTCTAACAATGACACATTTTTAAATTTTGTTCCAAATATTTTAAAAACAATTTCAAATCTATTAAAGTTTATCTGTTAACACAGTAACAAAAATTAACATAGTGTTAACACCATTGCTGAAAGACAGTTTTTATATTTGTAAATATAAAATCTATAAATATGGAATTTGTAAAACACTTTTACAATACAAGTTCCTAATATAAATAAGTTTAAACTCAAAATTAGTAGAAGGCTAACCTGGTTTTACACAGTGACACCCATCTGTCAATGACTATGTCGCGTTACACTTTACAATTAGTCTCATGTAAACTAATTCTAAGCTAGTTGAAACAAAATCGTAATCTAGATTAAAAATAAAACTTAAAAGTCTGTAGCTCACCAGTATGCCAATGTCATACAATCGAAAAGTTTTGTTAACGATGCGTCAATTTCTGTTGAATGAGAGCTTCGAGGAGCGCAATAGTAATTCTTTGAAGTTTCTTTGCATGCTTCTTTGAAGTCATAACCTCTGACCTTAACGTGCCGGCACGCCACAGAGATGGTGTTTCTATCAGCTGACTCGTGAACATTAAGGCTTGCAGGTGAATCTTCTTCTTCATCAATCTTAGACACCATAAAATGGCCACTATGAATTGATTCTTTGTCCATATTCTTCTTTAATATTTTTATTTTCGTTCGGGTACATATTCTGTAAATTAAATAATTAAAAATATATCAACATGTGACAATAAATATTAACAGCTGTTAACGCGTCTTACCATCTTTCGCCATGTTGAAACTTGTTATATACAAAGGCGATAGCTGATCGTGCGCATCAGCAATACATGAAACGTTTCAAAAGCACAGATTTATAGAAAACAAATAATATGGTAACTTATGCGTGGTTATTTACAAACTGAGTCATTTTTAAATATTAACATATAAGTTATTATTAGTCCTATACTTCCTGTAACGACAAAAATACTTATGATAGGATATCCTTAACAAAATTATTTAAAATTTAGCCTTAAATAGAACGTGTGATAAAGGTATATCGATCCTAGAAGTGATTCTTGGTAAACAAAGACTACATAGTTAAATCGACTCATATATATCTTCTTTTGCTTTAAAATGAATTGGGCATGGCCTGTAGGGGTTCGCGTGCCCGGACTATGATTCCGAAGTTCCACAGTTTAGGACCCATTGCTCCAAGCATGCGCTCCACACTTTGGGACTGTAATAAGAGTGACGGGTAAATCCCACTATTAGGTCAGACAAGAATGGCCCAAAAGTTGGCAGTTGGTGCTGTTTACTAGCTGTCGTCCTTCTAGTCCATCCACTCAAAATTAGGAGATAGCCCATGATTAGCTTTCACGAAATTCTGGAACGAACGAACAAATGCTTTGGAAGACCCTAAAATCTAAAACACAATTTTTCGTCACCTAACAATATATAAAATGCAGTTAGATAATTCAATTGTTCCCAAAATGGGGTTAGGAAGATAGTTTCTGGGGTACTCAGCACATGTAGAAATATTATTTTTAAAGTTTCTCTGATACAGAACTAAACAATATTTTTGTGATAATTTTATATATTGCAATAAACATGACAATACCACTTTGTTTATGCTTAAGGTTTATTTTCGGGTTTTTTTTTCAAAGAACAAATTTCAATTAAACTAAGTTACCTTATATTAAATCATTAAAAGGGAGTCCTTAACCAGGATGTCTAAATCTTGAGTCACCTCAAACTAAAAAGTTTGGGAACCTTGAGGTACTTCCCTTTCTTTATTTTCGGTTTAGATGAACTTCTAAGAGCTGAAACAGCTTGGAACGGCAGTATTCAGTTGATCAAAATACCAGCGTCACGTGATTTCCGCTGTCGTAACTCTGCCCCTTTTTTTAGTATTGTTCGTCCCGAACAATAGCCACTTACTTTAAACCAATAGAAAATTAACAATAACTTAATTAAATGGACAGAATTTACAAACACAAAATTAAAATTCAATAAAGTCTCTTCATTTTACGGGACATATCTTCTTCCGTACTGGTATCCGTCTCGTTGGCTTCTGGTTCACGTGGGGTTCATCTGCTCCATCAGGAAATGTCCTATTATCGGTAATAGTCACATCAGTGGTAGTAACTTCATCAAGAGCTTCACTGTTTCCATTCTCAAACCCAGAAGAGTTTCTTCTTTGACAGTGGTTTTTCCAGGTGACACGTCTTCAGCGGCATCCTTTGTTCCATTGTTCACTTAATTCCAACTGAAATGTCCTGGACTGTGATAATACCATTTTATCAAAATTAATTACAAACTTCCTTGGTAGTAAGTAATCCAACCCTAATATGCATTGGTTTTTAATGTCAGCCAAGTATACTTTGTGTCTGTCCTTTATGCCCATGAGCTCAATAGTTACCCACACTGGTCCCCACAACCTTACATAATGTCCTATCACACCACAAAGCTTCTGTATGGCTTCTGGTACTCCTTTGTGATCCAGCATCTTGATACTCACAAGGGTTTGCTGAGATCCAGAATCTATGACAAAGTTGCACTTTTGG